GATAACTATGAGCCGCCAATGTGATATGGCTGTGAAAAAAGCTAATGTGGTCCTGGGATGCATCAGGCGAGGTATTTCCAGTAGAGATAAGGAGGTGTTAGTCCTGTTATATAAGGCACTGATGAGACCTTATCTGGAATACTGTGTGCAGTTCTGGTCTCCCATGTTTAAGAAGGATGAATTCAAACTGGAACAAGTACAGAGAAGGGCTACTAGGATGATCTGAGGAATGGAAAACCTGTCTTATGAAAGGAGACTCAAAGAGCTTGGCTTGTTTAGCCTAACCAAAAGAAGGCTGAGGGGAAATATGATTGCGCTCTATAAATATATCAGAGAGATAAATACCAGGGAGGGAGAGGAATTATTTAAGCTCAGTACCAATGTGGACACAAGAACAAATGGATATAAACTGGCCATCAGGAAGTTTAGACTTGAAATTAGGTGAAGGTTTCTAACCATCAGAGGAGTGAAGTTCTGGAACAGCCTTCCAAGGGGAGCAGTGGGGGCAAAAGACATATCTGGCTTCAAGACTAAGCTTGATAAGTTTATGAAGGGGATGGTATGATGGGATAGCCTTATTTTGGCAATTACTTGATCTTTGACTATTAGCAGTAAATATGCCCAATGGCCTGTGATGGAATGTTAAATCGAGTGGGATCTGAGTTACTACAGAGAATTCTTTCCCGGGTGTCTGGCTGGTGAGTCTTGCCCACATGTTCAGGGTTTAACTGATCGTCATATTTGGGGTCGGGAAGGAATTTTCCTCCAGGGCAGATTGGCAGAGGCCCTGGGGGGTTTTCACCTTCCTCTGCAGCGTGGGGCAAGGGTCACTTGCTGGAGGAGTCTCTGCACCTTGAAGTCTTTAAACGATTTGAGGACTTCAATAGCTCAAACATAGGTTAGGGGTTTGTTACAGGAGTGGGTGGGTGAGACTCTGTGGCCTGTGTTGTGTTGGAGGTCAGACTAGATGATCATAATGGTCCCTTCTGACCTTAAAGTCTATGATTCTATGATCATCCTCAAGAGGACAGGCTGCTTTTAGATGAATGTTGACACTAGAAAGGATAATCTGAGAGAATTTATTCAATATTTATTTTCTCTCACACTTTGGGAAGTGGGAATTAAACTTCTTGCTTTCTCTGGGACACAGAATGTAAATAGGTAACACCTCTACAAGTGTGCAAAATTTGATTGCAGTGATGCTGTGGGACCATTAAAATATTGAGAGAGGTGGGGAAATCTGAGTCAGGGAAAATGCAGAAGAGGATTACAATGGTGAAGAAGTGAATTTATTGCAGGTTCACCGTTGGAATGGAAAGCAATTGGAGCAATGACTGGAATACTGGAGAGGGTGTAGATTGGAGATGGGTGCAGGCAGTGTCTACTGTAATATGAATCCGAACACTGTCACGTGAACCTGAATCAAAACTCTAAACCTTCTGAAGTTCACACATCACTAATTTTTACTAACTTTTTCCATTACAGTATTTGCTTTTGTCATCTACTTCATTTACATAACCAGAGGATCAACATCTAGTAGGTAAATTAAGTGATGCAGCTGAGGTCATTATCCCAACTCCTTACTGACACTTTAATGTGATTGCAGAACAAACAAAAAAGCCATTCAGCAGTGATGGAGTACTTATGGCACGTGGTAACTTTATATGAAGGGTGAAAAAATAGCATGTTTAGAGCCAGGAATAGGCACTTAATAGAAACCAAAATAAATAATTGTAAGCAATCTCTCTATGGTACAATATGCTAATTGTTTAAATAATAAGAAAAACACTACAGTGGAAAGCACTTTTTAAAAACAGTTCAAAAGGAAAAACTTTATTATAAAGAACAACCAATGAGAAAAGTATGTAATTTCTTAAACACTTGTTGAAATCCAAAACAAATGTTACAGTTATCACTATACATTCTATTGCTTCAGGGCATCAGCCTGAGGGATCTAGGAAGAAACTTCCCCTAAAGACAGATTATTATATAATTGCATACTCTGGCCTTCTTTTGCCTTCCTCTGAAGCAGCCACTGTTAGAGACAGGATACTTGACTAGATGGACCAGTGGTCTGATACTTTATGACAATAGCATGTTCTTCTGTTAGTGTAAAATAATTATCTTATTAAATCTAAACTGAATGAAAGGTTGCTTGATTTATCTTTATTTTCATAAACACCAAAAACCTGATCAGAACAGAAAATCTTCAGCCATACTAGAAAAATGCTATGGGAAATTATTTTTGGTACTTGGAATTCAATTCATGGATCAAAGTTCAATCCAGTAACTTCCAGGTGTGTGAACTGGATGAACTGGAGCTGATGGAGGGTGATGGGGGGGGAACGACACAGAAACCCACTCCCCATTTTACCCAGAAGTCTGCTGTTACTGCAGGGAAAAAAAAGAGTAGGAGGAAAGCTAGCTTCCCCTCGGGTGTGGTGTTGTAATCTTTATTTTCCTTAGTTACTGAAAAAAAATAAGCTCTCAGCAATTTGTAAGGATGTAAATTACACAAGAGGATTGCCTCACAAGTTATGATGTACTAGAAGCAATGGAAAAATGTGCTAACTTTATAGAAAGGCATCCCATCTGTCAATATTTTGTGATGTACAAAGAGTTATATCATTCAGAAAGATTATTCCCTGCAGGCTAGTGGCAGGAATTTGAAAAATGGGAAGGAAGACTGACATAGCTGATGGGCTTGGCCTTGCATATTGCATTGCATGTACCTGGCTTGTGAAACCATATATGTTACTGTACTTCTACAAAGCCAGATAATCTGCAACATGACAACTAAAGCTCTTCAGTAAAACTCCTTCATATGAACAAGAAACAAAATTTAGAATCTGATGTGGGGGAATAATAGGAACTAACAAGTGTACAATGCAAAATCTGATTTAATAATATCTTTTCACATAAAATATTACTGAAGTCTGCAAAAGACTTCAAACATCACATTATTACCAGTTTTGACCTGAGGCAAAGCAGAGCACTAAAAACACATTAAGGGTTCTGCTCAAGAGTAAATAGGTTATGCTGCTGTTATGCAATTTATATGAGAGCTAGGCTGGGCTGATTATACCCAATTCCAAAACAAAAGTCTGCAGGTTACTCAGCAGCAATGTTGTCAGAGTTTGACTCTATATGGTGATGCACAAAGAAACACTTCATCCTCATCTTGTTCCCATATGCCAACACCCAGTTTGCAAAAACGCATACTACACATTCACAGCTAAAATCTATGGCCCAGATCCACAAAACGTATTTAGGCTACTAACTTGCATGGATTTCAAAATGTATTTAGGCTCCAAAATACATTTATGGATCTTGGCGTATGTAGGTACCAGTAATCACCATTTTTATCCCATCCCAAAGAGAAATAAAAACGTTGGCCACGAAGAAAACTGCCATTTCAGACATACCTCCAATGTCTCCCTCTCTCACACACACTTTTCTTGAATATAGTTCTTTAAAAGGAAAAAGAAAAAATGGCCACTGTAGGAAAAATCTCCTTGAATAAAATGGAAGTGAAAAGAAGATCTGTCTAAATGGTTTCTACCTTTATACCACAAGAAGTAAAAAATTCCTTGAACACTTGATATTCAGGTAACATTCACAGTGATGGGAAAATTGTATTAGATACTGATTTGATCCTTGAACTGACCTCAAACAGAATTTTTTTCTCCCTCATTTTCCTGTACCTGTTTGCTTGTTTTTCAACAGAAACTTAGTTCAATTGCAGTAAATACCACGAGAAATACACCTCTACCCCAATATAACGCTGTCTTCAGGAGCCAAAAAAATCTTACCGCATTATAGGTGAAACCGCATTATATTGAACTTGCTTTGATCCACTGGAGCACGCAGCCCCGCTCCCCTGGAGCGCTGCTTTACCGTGTTATATCGGGTCGCGTTATATCAGGGTAGAGTTGTATCATGGTATTTCAGACCTGACCAGCAACAGCATCAAAAATTTCATGCGATTTCCAGATTATAGTCTGGATAGTTCACATATGGTTCTGATATACCCCAAATACTGTAGAGAACCATTCATCACTAAATGGTATTTGCATCTCAGATACAACATTGGGAACTAATATGGGAAACCATTCACTTTTACAATGGAAATATAAAGGAGGCAAATGAATGCATTAAGTTATATCTATATGGCCAGAGAATACTTGTTCGGCTTTTGCCCTCAGTTAGCCTTAATTTATACATTATCCCTCTTGACATTTTTACATTAGTTGCAAATTATAAAATGCTGCATGTTGTAAAATAATAAAGTGTCTAGATTATTACACCTCACTTAATTCCTGTGTTCTTTACTAGTGATTTATTTGTATAAGGGGAGAAATATTATGATTTTTTTAAAAAAGAAAATAATTTATTTTTGACTGTGCCTTCTATTGTATATGAGCAGTGGCAATTAAAATCAGAAGAAAGCTTGAAGTTGCAACCAAGGTGGGCCCACAGTGGGGTATGGATAAGTCCATTACATCACATAGCTGTGCACCTGTTAATAAAATCCGAGACTGCTTAAAAAAAACCCTGAAGTCATAATAGGCAACTATTTTGTATGCTCACAATGACATCATGACAGCTACCAGGCGTTCCAAGTATTGAAAACACTGTGAAAAGAATGTAGTGGTAACACAGATTGGCAAATGGTTTCCATTGGCTTCCAACCAGCACAAAGTCAAAATTATCAGCAACTTGGCTTGATTTTAATTTAGCCTTTTTAAAAATAGATGAGGTGGTATAAGAGCTTGGGTTTATTTATTTATTTGCCCCAGAATTTCTAGGCAAACAATCCGCAAGAGGTACCTGCATTACAAATAAACTCAATATAATATTTAATTTAAAGTTAATTATTTTCTTTATATTCCTTTGAAAGAAAATCTTATCTTGATCCCATATTAACCTGGAATGTGTCTGATCTTTACTTAACTTCAATTTCTGAATAACACACAGGGGAATATCCTTGGGAAATCAGTGTCTTAACAATTAGTTTAATTACAGGAAATTAGTAGATCTCTCTTACCTAAAGACTGGTAGAGCTCAGTCATTTTAGGATGATCCCAGCAGGTCGTTTGTGTCTCATGGCTAAAACATAAAAATATGAAGGTTTTAGAATGAAATACGTATGGTAGAGCTTTCCCTAAGACAGTCGGACACTTCTCTTTGCAGATCTTTCCTTAAATAGATATCCATATTTAGTAGCTGTACAATTCAATGATTAAATGTTTATTCACAGAGCAGAATATATGTGTATGTGATAGCAATGATGTTGGAATTTTTCCCAGCCAAAATCACAAAAATTCATATTTTTTTGTTATGATAGGTGGGTTTTCTTCCATCAGTTTTGAAGCTAAATTGCTCTCTCCTACTACCATATTACATAACGAGCAGTGCAGCATCTAAACCTAGACGATGTATAGAATGCCACAATGTCATCTTTGGGGATTAGAGCAGGAAGTGTGACCGATGGTCGATATGTCTATTTGTAACACTAGGTATGAATTTGGCCCATTATATTTAGTGATGGGCTCAAGATGCAATAGTTACATCTAAACTATACACAATCCCAAAACTATGGGGGTTCAGTGGTTTGGATTCCATTTCTAATTAGACTAATTTATAAAATGGACTTTATTTTAAATACAGCAACCCTATTCTCCTCCATATAGAATTGTTCAAAAATGACAATAATATTTAATGAACAGTTTTGTCAATTTTTTTTTCAGTTTTTCAATGAAACATATGAAGGATTTGACCTGCTCTATTTTAAGTGTTCACTATTCAATTAGTGGATGAGATGTCAGCTACAACTGCTGTCCTACATTCCACTTCAAATGGTTGTACCAAAAACCCATGTTAAATTCTATTGAATCAGCAGCCTCTTAAACTGCTTCTAAGCCCAATGTGTTCTATCCCAAACATTGATTTTTTCCCCCCCTTTCCTGTTCTTGTTGCTGCAATTTCTGTTTCTTTGAATTCAAGCTGGAATTCCATCTCCTGCCCTAGGTCCATCGCAAATTTCAAGAGGCAGTGCCTTTGGAAAGCACAAAAAACAACTAAAAAGGGATTTTGAACGCCTGCAGAATACACAGTATGACCAGAATGCAAATTGGACATTCTCTGCATTGAATCAAGCAGCCGCTAGCTTTACAACAAAGTGTGATGCCAACAAGCATGTATCATGAGAGAAAACCACCAAACTAAAGTGTGAGTTAGTGAGTGTAACAATGATTTATGCCTCCTGAGGTTACATATTTTATGATTTTTTAAACTGGAAGTTACTAAAATATGTGATCATATATAACATTATGATAGAAATCTGAGATTGAAAAGTCACTTGTTTATTCTCCTGCCAGTAGAGGACTGGTCATGTAGTCTCCAGATATATTAAAGGGAGGCTGCAAGAAAGTGAAAGGAAAAGTTTTGAAACTTGTGAGCGCCAAACTGTGACTAGCTCTTTCACAAGGCGCCCCAGGAAGGCTGATCACAACTGCAGTCCCTGCATTTGAGGAGCAAGGGGACTGCTCCTCTGCCTGCAGATTGGCACAAAAAGTATGGGGAGAAGGGCAGGACCTGATCCAGAGCTCAGTGAAGTCAGTGCAGAAGCTCCCATCAACATCAATGGACTTAGAAACAAAGCTTTGGAGAAGGCTGCTCCTTCCTGTTCACTAATTTGTGCTCTCTAGCACAATCTAACCTAAGAAGGGGCAAAATCTGTGAAACAATTAGAATGACATACCTTCTATTTGGTCTAGCTTCCTACTTAAAGGAGAGGGTTGGTTAGTTGGCACAAGTGAACCTTTTACTGACTGAACTCTACATTCAACATTCTTTGACATGCTTCTTGTTTGTAATGATTTCCAAGCTTTGCAGTGAAGTCACAGCAAAGACCAATGTTGAGGGATCACAGACTATTACAATAGAAAAAAATAAGGCATAGAATGCACCAGAAGGATACAAGATTTTAAAGAAAACTATTCCTCATTGACCTCAGACGCTCTCTTCCCTTTATAATGGTAGAGATTGCATACAGTGAAAGAGGGAGAAGGAGATGGGAACACCACAAAGGTCTTGCATTGCTCATTGACATCACAGCAGAGAGCAACAGTTGATGACTGCAAATACACAGGCTGAACTGAGATTGATTGTGAGTTTTGTTTTGTTTTTTAAAAGCATAAAATAAGAAACCCAGAATAAAAGTTGAAGAAAACCTATGGATCCGTCTCAGACTCATCTGATTTCCTGTATTCCCTACCACTTGTGACAGAGATAGGAAACATGGGGTGAGAATACAGCATTAGCTGATTACAGTGAACTTGGATACAGCTAAACTGCATTTGCAAAGAAAATGAATAAAAGTTGAAAAATATTTTAGAGAATCAATACGTTAATTGCAATTTTGGCTATAAAAAGCCTCTGCTTACTAGGAAGTAGTTCTGGGGAGGAAAAAAGCCTCAGTGTAAAAGAACTCCATTGAGAAACTACATGATTCAGGACTTTGGTAAATGGATACAGAACTAGGTTAAGTGACCAGAAGTTGTTACATCTGATGGCTGCTCAACATCTACATAACATTATTTTGACCGCAACTGGTAACCTGCTGTGAATTCTTAGCACAGAAGTCAAGAATTACATAGGGATGTCTCCTCCAGATCAGGGTTGAGACATATACGTGGGGTAGTGTGAGGAATTTCTCTCTACTGCTGACCACTCTTCTTGTAACCAGAAATCCCTATTATATAAGCATCAATCATTCTTTCATGTCTCTTCATTTTCTACAACGCCATCTTCCAAGTGGTGTTTGGGTGTTGGAGTAGTTAGTGTACCATTGATCAGTATGTCAAATCACGTAGAAATACTAGGAGAAAGTTCACCCACTGATTGCATCAGAGCTGTATTTCTCTTTTAAAATAAGCTACCTAATTTTCCAAGTGAAATGAGTTTGGTTGTCTCAGACTGCTCTGCAGAGCACTTTAGTCTCCAGTGCCGTCAACCTGGCATGATTCACAAGCACTGGTTTTATGCATTTTTGATAAACACTGCATAGTCATCTATACATTTTATGCATACAATGCAAAAGGGCACAGCCCCTACTAGAAATTGGTTTTCTCCATTTACCCACAAGTGAACTACACAAAGCTAAAATCTGCAGGGCAAATGAACCCCCTCGTCTATTTGCCCTTTCATTGATCTCAGTCCCACACTGAAGGAAATACCCCTTTCTATAGGGATGAATGTCAAGTCAGTATCCATGGTAGCTCATTTCTTTGCCTTCTCTTAAGCAATGATTATCCACTGGGCTGAATGCTGTGTATCAGGTTTTTATTATATCCACAGGCAATTCAGCTGAGACTATCAAACTCATATCTTACAAGACGGTGAGAGCTGGACTCTAGAACTGGAGGTATCCCTCTCACTCTTGTATGAAAGTCAGTGTTTTAAGGAAACCCTGCATTCCAACTCTGTAAAGGTTGAGTGCCTGTGAAGAATAAGGGCAGATTTTGCTGGTACTTTACATGCAGAACACAAGAAGGCTGCAGCTTTTTCATTCTAACTAAAAAGTGTTGCCTCTTTCTGAACATTTTCACCACAGAAAGTTATCAACAATTCCAAACACATGTACAGCTCAAGGAAAGGTTAGATTCCATCGAGACTATCCTTCATAAGCCTCTTTGCCATTTTCAAAGGCCATTTAATTGTAAGCTTTGGGGTTGGCTGTGGGAGGGGGTGTGTATTGTGAACACCATCTGAAGTGAAATGCCAGCTCAGCAATTCTAGGCTGTCTCAAAGACACTTGGGAACACTACCATCTTTAACAGATCTGCTGAAAAAATGTTTGCCATATTTCCTAACTCTGGTTAGGAACTAGACCCTATAAAGTCAGAGAAACATTACAGGTTCATGCCTCTCTAGCTTATCAAGATGCAAAAGGGGAAAGAAGAATAAAGATAGGCCTGGAAGAACAACAGATGATAGCGGCGGAATGGTGATTGGCACACTAAAATTCATAGATAGTTCAGTGAGATAAAAGCACAATCTTTGTACATATGATGTGACTTATTAAATCAGTGGTTCTCAAACTATTGTACCTGTGACACCTTTCACATAGCAAGCCTCGGAGTGCGACTCCCCTTATCAATTAAAAACACTTGTTTATATATTTAACACCATTATAAATGCTGGAGGTAAAGTGGGGTTTGGGGTGGAGGCTGACAGCTCGTGACCCCCCATGTAATAACCTCCTGACCCCCTGTTTGAGAATCCCTGTATTAAATGAACTGTATTAAATGAATTTGGTAGTCTCAACTCAGTCCTTACGGGATGGTGATAGATGATTAAGCAAATTTTTTTTTTTAAATCATGAGTAACCCAACACTGGGATAGCAAAGATTTTTCTGAATAGGATTCAGGTGCATAGAGAACTTTGCAAAAACACTTTGCCATCCTATATCTGCATATAACCAACACAACTTCTCTATCATTGCCAGGAGTACAAAGATGAACCCCTGATTATTGTCAGAAGAGATGACAAAGCAGCATGATAAAAACTTGAACTGATGCGATGAATGATAAACTAAACTATCAGTTCTCTATTAAAATATGCCCAGTTTGAGTAAAAATAAATGGCTTTGCCCCCTTTTCAGCTTGTATTATCTTTGAAAAACACTGGCAGCAAGCAAAAGGGATAGAAAAAATTCTCCTTTATAAATCACCTTTAAACCTTTTTAAGTTCTTGATTTTATTCATTCTGCCAGTTTTAAATTTCAAAGATTTGGTCTCCCATGTTTATCATTGCTAAGCTTCACAGCAGAGAATTTGAGTATGGAACTGCACCCCACTCTCTACACTGTTACATTCCTCTTAATTTGTGACTATATTAAAGCAAATTCCACCAGCCTTCCACCATTCCCTTTACTTCAAAATGCACTATTAACCAGGTGTAAGGTGTGTGTGTGTGCAAGAGAGAGAGAGAGAGAGAGAGAGAGAAGCAAATTCTGTCAGGTGGCAATAAAGAAACAGCAACACATATTAGCCAATAATTAGAAAGCAAGTTATTTTATAGTGTGCTGCACTACAATACAATT